CAGCTAATGCTGCTGGTGTGTTTTGTAGTGTTTTGCAGCTCAACTTCAGTTCAGGTAATTACTGACTAAATGCCTCCTCCTGCTCCTGGATACCACAAGATTTTTCATTCACTGACCATCAACTGTGCTAACCCTACTGTTAGAGCTACTGCTTTCCACCCCATAGGTAGTCACTTTTCCACTGTGAGTGAAGTGATGCTAATATGTAATTTTTAGAGCTGTAAGCTTGTCAAAGGCATTGGCACCTTCCAAGGGGGAGGAACTATATGTTCAAGAAAGCACCAGCGTTACAGAGGCGTAACCGACACCTGGTTTCAATTAAGCACAGCACCAGACTTCCAGATCAGCTCAGTTAAGAAACTATTATTTACACACAGTGCATTGGCTCTCTGTGCCCTAGAAGCTCACTTCTCTCTTCTGGCCTTTGTCCACTGAACTGCTCCTGGACTGGTCTGTCTCGGAGTTCCCAAGAATCAGGTCACGTATACTGTCATGGTCCAAAGGGTTATCAACTGGGTCAAAAGAGATGCAAATGCATTACAAAAGCATTCCAGAGCCCTGGGCAAACCCAGACTCTAATGGCAACCCTCTCAGCAGGCTGCTGCTGCCCCCAGGAACCCTGGGCTGGAAAGGAGGCAGGGACCCCCTGGGTGATCTAACCCACACTAGGGCTAGATGCAGCCACAACTCTGCCACTGTATTTCATTCCCTTGGAATAACATTGCAAAGGCCTTGGACTGTCCTGTACTTTCCCTCTGTAACAGAACAGAGAACGAATCCTAACAGGTTTACAGTCACCAACCCCAGTTTGGTTGTGTGGCTGTTTCTTTGCTTTCTGCAGCCCATGCCTCTGCAGTTTTGCTCTTGGTCCCAGTTTACAGCATCTGCTTGCCAGGGTGGCTGGCACAGGAGATGTATGGACTTACAGTCCTCCAAGATGTCTGCCACATGCTCAATGGGAGGGGGAGGCAGTGCCATCTTGTTAGAATCCATAGATTTCAGGAGTGATGAGCCACCTAAAAATGGATTCAAGAGAGGAGACGAGTCCCGCTCTCCTTCGAACTCCTTGTAGCGCACAAAAGCCTCTGTGAGCAGTAGGTCATTGGTCTTCTTTTCTATGACACCTGGGAGAGGACAAGTTGAACATGTGTCATGGAGCTGACTTGGCAGCCCCTCAGCCCCAGGGGGAAGACATCTTCCATTCTGAACCTAGATTTTGCCAAAGCCAAGAACCAGGAGCCTGCATCCTCTTCCAAACCCCCTGTGTGATATGGGTGACACTGGCCAGACCAGGCCTATAGCTCCTGGGAGGCTGGTACAGAATGCATTAGACCCCACGTTCCCCTTGAGAGCCACTAACAGGGCTCAGGAGTCCAAAACCTGCCACTCCTCCTTTCCAAATTCCCCACTGACCTCTGCCATGAATAAGTCACTGAGGTATTCCCCTGTCCAGAAACTTCAAGCCATACTTTTCCAGCATTCAGAGAGGACACAGGCAGCTGACAACTCACCAAAGTACTGCATCAGGTTCAGGTCAGTGATCTCATCACTCTCTCCAAGCTGCTCCTTTATCTTTGTGGCATCGCAGTTTGTTTGCTTGAACAGAAAGGCTACAGCGGATTTGAGCTGGTCCAAGACTTTGCCGCCCTCCTTGCAGGTTAACTCATACAGGTCAGCTTCCTCACTGGTTTTCTTCAGCTTCCTCTATCAGCAAAGAGTTATCAAGGCTATGGGGCTGGTGTGATGTAAAAGAGATGGCCTGAAGAAGTCCCCAAGCACCCAATCTATGCCCCATCTCTAGGCTTGCAGCTGAAGCCTGATCCAGGTTGCATGAAAGTTTTCCATGGAGTGAAAGGCAACAGGCCAAATCCCATCCCTGCTGTGCCCTGCTCACACACAGGAATGACAGCAGTGCCCCTAGCCTGGCAACCCTTTAGAGAGGACAGGAAGTCACTAGTCATCGTATGGCCTGGGGTGAGGGGCAGAAGGACCACGGCAGAGCCAGGATGTGATACCCTTAAAGACTTCCTGGACATTGCCTTTGTGTGTGGGAGGGGGGTGCAGATCCTGAAGATCAGCGCAGGCCCACAGAGTGGGGCTGTGAGTTTGTGCAGTCCAGACAACACCCTGAAGCCACCTTGCTCTGGGGGAACCCATGGACCATCTGCAGAATCCAGCTGCACCACAAGACACCAGGCAAGGGCCGGCTTCATGCAAGTCAGCCTCAGGTTGCTGAGAGGGCAAGATTTCCCACAGGCAGTGAGAGCCCAAAGCTGGGCTCTCTTAGTTGCAGCCCCCTTGGCCCATTCTCACATCAGAGTTGGTGGGAAAGGCCACCCTGTATTTCCTAGGGAACCTAGAACTAGAAGAGGTAGAACGAGTGGGGACTGTCCACCCTGAGCTTCGTCAGCATTGTGATGGGGAAGAAAGTGGTGGGGCCAAGGAGGGCACAGGCCACTCCTGCCCACCTCATCCCAGAAGCCACAGCACTGGCAATGCCATAGCTCCTTCTGCCAGGCCCCATGCATGGACATCCCAGTGCCCAGAATAGCCACATGGACTGCTTCCTGGGGCCTATGCTGTCAAACGTTTTAGCTGAGAGTGAGTCAAGGGCTGCTGGGCTACCCCCCAGCTCCTTACTTCCAGCTCCTTCAGAGAGACGTGGCTTGTGGTTTTGGCATCCTTCTGTTGTGACTTCAGGTGAAGGATTTCACTCTGCATAAAACACAAGCGCAGGAGGCAAAGAGAGCTGCTCCCTGCTGCTGAATCCATCCCAGCATGGAGCACTGTATGCCCTCCCCATACTGCCCACCATGTCAGGGCAATAATAGAGTCTCTGTCACCCTCCAGTGGGGCAGACTGCACCTGGGGATGGACAGAGGCCATGTCCCGTTCTCATCTGTTCCCCCTGCAAACCCTGTCGGCTGCAGGCAGACCAGCCTAGGAACAAACAAAGCACTATGTGACCCTTTGTCTTCTGCTTCTGCCAGGGCCAGGTCCGAGGGTGCAAATCAACAGAGATGATCTTTAGTTGTGGTAAATTAGTGGAGCAAGGCAGGATTTTGGCACAGGGGCTGGAGCTCATGGATTTGGGTTTGGTAATGGATCATTCTAACGTGGTTGATCCACAGTGTTTCCTTCACCGGTGCTAGCAAAACCAGGGAAACAATGAGAAGTAACATCTTAAAACTAATCACTCCCTCCCCAGGGGCAATTAAATATCAATGCCAGGTAGCAAAATACCATGCTTCTGCCACTAGGCCATGGGTTCCCCTCAGGCAGTGAGAGCCTGAAACAGGGCCCTCTTCTCAGATCACACAGCCTCGTATCCAAAGCACAGATCCAAAGGGTCTCAAAAATTTCAGATCCATAGCTAAGCAGCAGTGTTTTAAGACCTGGCCTCAAGTCCCTGGGAGATCCCATACCAACAGTGTTCAGGGGGGTCCCATTTCTCCTGAAAAAAATCCTTTTACACTAAATAAAATTTCCCCTGGTAGGCCTCAACTTCCTGCCCCCACATCATGTCCTAACCTGCCTGTTCAAATGGCCCCCATTGCCTAGGCCTCGGCAAGGGAGTCACACAGAAGGCCTTCATAATGCTGATGCTTTATATAGCTGAAAAGTACAGAAGCTGCAGGCAACAGAAGGAAGTGCTGGACCTACAGCGTACAAATTGGAACAAGGAGGACACGGAACAGGCTCACTGGCCCATCACGCGGGAAGGAACTTCTAGAATGGGCAATGCCAGGTTTCTCCTGTTGAGAACAGCTGGATGTCGAAGCACAGTCATTTGGAATTTGGATGGGGCGGTACGTTTCTGGCAGCTGGGGAGTGAGGCTCATGCGTGGAGTAGAACAGCCTTTCCTTGACCAAAAATAAAAGAAAAATGCTGTTTTCCTCTGTCAGCCTCCCCAAGCACGGGCCAAGTCCTGAAGCCTCCCATCAGGTAGGAATCTCACCTGGGCAGGTTCCTATAAGCTCTGACTGATCCCACCCCTCACAGGAGAAACCTTGAGTCATTTTGTCACACTCCTCTGCACATGCCCAGGGATACCCACTGCATCCACTGACACTAAAAGGCCCATCCAACTGGATTCAGCAACCTCTGGAAGCTGAAGCTGTCCCTGAACAAGGCTTTCTTGCAGTATTTCTTTTGGGTGCAAGGTGGCAGCAATGAGCTTGGTTTCAGTACCAGTTTTGGGCCATTTGGCTCATGTAGCAGGCTTTTTTGGTGGAATTAGCAGCTGAGGCCCTGTGTGGGCAGCAACAGCTGCAAGAGAGGAAAGAAGAAAACCTCAGTCTGAAACAAAGAAACAGTGCAAAGAGTGTGGAAAACCAGCAGGCACTGACCTGAATATCCTCAATCCTCTTCTGCAGTCTCTCCATCTCATTGTTGAGTTCGGTGGCGTAGCTGAAGTAGGCAAAGTTCTTCTCCTCCTTCTCAATGAACTCTTCTACCAGCTGGCCAATGTCCCCATTCTCTGTCATCTGGAGCAGGCGTATATAAGAAACCTCATAGCTCTCAAAGCTTTCCCCTTTGCTCTTCTTGGCACGTTTGCTGGCTTTGAAGGCTGGAAGAAACCAAGAATGACATTTAACCTTCCAGGACAGAAGACGACCTGGGTCATTTTGGGTTTTACTGGTCATGTTCTTGCTGTGCCCACCATCGGCAAACACAGAACAATGCACTTGAGAACACCATGGACTTAAATCATGGCTCCTGGGAGAAAAATTATGGGAGAAAGAATGAAAATCCAGGAAGAGCAACCAAACCGGAGGTCAGGGCACTGGGGAGGGACCTTGGAGCTGACTGATATGAATTAAAAACCCAGGGCAGAGCCTGAGACCTATAACCAGCAGCAAGGTGAGAGCGTAAATGGAGAAGGACAATTCCCCACTGTCTGAGGAAGGCAGCAGAAAAGCCTGAGGCTAAGAAACAGGAGCCAAACTGTGTGCTAGTCCCATCAGTTCTGCCTCCTTGAGCTGAGCTTTGATTACAGTAAGAAGCCTGATGATAACACTGTGTGCACTGAAATTTAAGTCCCTGATTTCCCTGTCTCCAACACAGACCTGACCCTTTGCTGGCCATGTTACACATTTCTGCTGAGAGTGAAGGCCCTGCGGATGGGCACTGGTCTCCCCTCTGTGTCAACAGCTGGCCTGTGTCTGTTCCCTGCTATTTCATGGTACCTTCTTCCCTCTTGACCTGGTCCTCGAAGTCAGAGCGATCCACGAGCTTGACGACCATGAAAGACTTCAGCTTGGTCTCATGGTCGAAGATTCGCTCCAGCTCCCTGAACTCGATGTTAAACTGCACAGTGTCTTTGTAGTGCTTGTCCTTCATGGCTGAGATCCTGTCCAGAGCCTCCACCCTAAGCACAACCAGGAGTCACGAGAGGCTTCTTCTCCCATCACAAGCTAACCACACCACTCCCAATGCCGACTCATCATCTGGCCAGTGAATGCCGGGTGGATCTTGTGCAGTACAACTCACAGGGATGGGAAGAGAATCTTTCCCAGCAGGGTTAGGAGAGACCAAAGAGCTTTCCTGCTGTATGGGAATGCTGCATGGGAAATGGCCTGGTGGGAGGAAGTATGGGCCGGACAGGAGCCCAGTCCTCAAAAAACACTACTGGGACTGGTGCTAAATGGGCCCCAGTTGGCAGACCTAGCTACAGGGCCAAATGTGGGAGTGAGCCATTACCCAAGAAGATCATGGCTGTAACAGAGCAGTAGCAGGCTGCACAGATGCAGACACTCTACTCTCTCTGCCCTGTCCAGGAATGGAGAAGCCCAGATTCAAGATCGATCAATCAAGTGCCTCAGCTGAGCACTACAACACTAACACTCCCCATGGTTTCTTACCTGGGTGCCCTGTTTTTTTGGTTGCCCAGCTTTAGAAAGGAAAAGCCTGGTTTTCAGGCATATGGAGCACCCATAACTCCAGCTGAAGTCCACTGGCAGGTGCTCCACAACCCTGAGAGTTGGAGCTTTGTTGTCTAACGCAGGGCACCCAGGATGAGTGGACACCCATTCAAAGTTGGCTTAGTGTACACCTGTCTGAGTGAACAGAAGGGGCATACCCAAAATCACAAAACAGTGCCCTGGAGTTCACTGCCAAGGCTTAGCACTGCCCCACCCCCTTTACCGCTGATCATAGGCTTGTGAGGACTGCTCAGTCGCATTTTCCATCATTCTCTTTTGCTGATCAAATTTCTTGTGGAGTTTGATGTAGTTGTTGTCAAAGACGGCCTTCTGAACTCGCAGGGTCTCAATCTCTTCTCTGAGTTTGGTGTTCATGGTCAAGACTGTATCGAAATGGACTGTGACCTGGAAAGAGTGAATGATGCAGTACAAGACAGTGGAGACCAGCTTCCAGTAAAACAGCATACATCAGGGCTGACACACAGCCCATCCACCTCTCAAGAGGACCCTCTTTAACACAGAGTATAGTCCACCGAGCCAGTAGAAGAGGCTTTGTGGAGCAGACCAGCCAAGGTTGGGAGCTACTAAAGTTCACCTGTCCTGTACCAAATACACAGCCAGAGGGACCAGACTGGAATTCTTAAATGTTCTTTAGACTAGGAAAGAAACCCTGTGTATGCAAGTACCCATAAGACCATGCAGTTGCAAGCTGCCTCATGAGCACTTACGTGATTCAAACGAGTCTCCAGCCTCTGAATCTTCTTTTGCAGCTCTTTGCTGTCATTTGCTTCCTTCACCTTGGCCACAACAAGGTTTTGTTTTTCTATCTTGTTCTCCATCTCCATTACCTAAAAAAAATAAAACCGCCCCTAGATGCTGGATTTTAGTCAGTATGCTAAGCCAATGTAAATACTTTGTGCTGACCTGAACTATAGTAACCTGTGGTGTTAATGATCTTGCATTTACAGAGCAGCTTTCATCCCAAACCCTCCTACTCTATAAATGCCAAGATGCAAACTATTAGCAAGAATTGTTTTATTTTCTCTTCACCACTGAAATGCAGCTGCCTCTGGGGTGAAGCACTGCAGCCAGCTAACAGCAACACTAAGCAAGGGAATGGAACAGGACACTGAAGAACAGTGTCTCACTGTGGCTTTCATCCACAGACCATGTGCAGTCTGTAGAGCTAGGGTTAGAGGCATGTAATAAACATTTAGGATAGATGGGGGTTGTGAAAGGGGCTGGATCCATGAAAAGATCCTGATTTCACCAAGTGGCTCAAAGAACGAAAACATTGGAGCACCACTGGAACTGGAAGGAGATGGGGGAAAGCAGATAGCAACTCCAGAAGAGATGAGAGCAGGACTTCAAAGCAAATTCCCTTCCTGAAAAACTCTAGGGATCATTAATGAGCACAAATTACATCTCATCTAAAAGCCCCCTTCCCACTGTAATGGGTTATTGATTCAATATTAACTCAAAGGGGAAAATGCCACCAACAAAATCTCCCAGGCCATTTCTGCAGAATCTAGTCTGTCTTTGGTCTCCTATCCAAATGCTAAGCAGACTCAACACAACTTAGCTTATAAGGGCCACTGAGCCAGTTATGGCATGTACAATGAGTTCAGATGTCATGGGCTGGGGCATGTATGTGACAAAAAAATAACATTTTGCCTCTATTTCAGAAAAAAAGAATGAAAGTAGGGATGGGAAGATGATAGTGTTACAGTAATCTCGTAGCCATGATGGTCCAAGAATTATGCAAGAGGCAAGGGTTTCTTAGGGTGATATCTTCTTTGGGAAGAGCAATTCACAGCCTCCTCCCTTCCCCCACATCCCTCCGAATACCGGTAGTACCTAGAGGCCAGGGCCACAGACCAGAATCAGATTCAAAATCATCGGCCAAACTCCTACGGACATGAACGGGAACAAGACAGGTCCATTTCGATATACACTGCTCTGGGCACATCCTTTCACAGTATCTGAAGGGAGATCCAGCTCACGAAAAGTTGTGAGATATATATAAGTGTGTGTATGTGTGTGAGTGTGTGCATACACACACACAGCTATAAGGTGCAAATCTACCCTGCCTTCTGCCAGACTTCAGTGTAACACAGCTAACTACATCTCTCCACTTTGTCTTCTAGCCATGTGTCTTTTGCTAAGAGGTGATGTGATATTCCAAGACCTGAATTAAATATGCTTTACTCATGAATACTTCAATGACACAATTTGCCTACAAAGGAAGTGCAGGCAAGGCAGGGTTTTTTCTTTCCCCTTGACCTTAATGCTTTGATTCAAGCCTTTATTCCTTTTGACTCCATCATGCTAGGATATTGTCACTGTGGTGTTCAGAATAAGTAGGTCATTAACTTGTAGAGCATGTTACACAGGACTACCAGTGGAGGAGAAACATGGCAACGTACAGGTAATTTAGGGTCCAATTCCACACACCCCTACTCATTTGAGTAGTCGAGTAGTCTCTATGCATGCAGAAAGTGCTACTGCCTTCATTGGGCACTCTTTATGTAAAATTTACTTATGTGTATAATGGATGCAGTTTTGGGAACCTGGGTAGTAATTAGTGAGTTATGCTTTTGACTAGAGATGAACTATGAAGGCATCGCAGCTGTTTAGCTGCACAGCTGCAAATGAAAAGCCAAAAACATGATTGCGCTTGTGATAGGTACGAGGGCGTTTCTAATTCTGTGGGTCTGCTACAGTACATCATGTTTATCTGATTAACTGTTCAGATGCTCTACCTTCTCATCGAGTTCAGCTATCAGCGCTTTTGTTGCTTTTATCAGAGAATCATACTCATCTCTAGTCTGCAAAAGGTATTTAAGCTCCATACAGTTTCTGACATCCAGCATCATATTCCTGGGTGACTTAGCAAGGCTCAGCAGTAATGCCATCTCGTCGTGTTCCTGCTTCAGTGAATGTATTTGTTTTCTGTAGGGGAAAAAAAAACAATAATCAGCTAAAGCACTTAACATCTTCAAAGCCCAGTACAAACATTCATTATTTAACCCCTGCAATTCCTGCAGCACTCGTACAGAAAAATATGAACAGGGAGAAGTTACTTTGAACAAACTATGTAAAAAACACTTAAATACATTTTCCTCCTTAAAAATAATGATGGCATTTCCCCCTGAAACAGATCCATATATTTTATGGTGGAGTCTTGCTGTCTTTTGGCATTTACTGACATCATGAGAGTTCTGCACGAGGAGTGAAAAAGGACTGGAACCTAAATAAAGGGACTCTCAGGATTCAAAGCAAATAGATTAATTCTGTGAAACCAGGAAATGCATAAGGTTATCATGGGACTGGAGCCCCGCTTACTCCTGATGGTACATCTGCTGTAGCACCTTGACACCAAAAGACTTCCGCTTTTCCACCATGATACGAAAATGCTGCTGCAGCTTCCTCAGCTCGTCCTCTGCCATCTTTTCTTTCTCCTTCTCAGTGAAATCCAAAAAATTGCTCCTGGAGTGGGACCCTTTCCAGCGCTGCCGACAGAAGGGAATATGTTAGCCTGGTCTGGGCACACCACTCAACAAAGCGCGAATAACAACGCACAGTGCAACCTATGCCGATGCCTCCTGTCCTCAGAGCCCTCCACAAATGCTAACCAGGTCACGCGCTGGGAGATGGGGAAAACTCCCTGTTCCCCAGGTTACAGCAGGAGGAAGGAAGTGTCTCTGGTGACATTAAAAGCCACCAGAGTGTTAACTGCAGTGGGCAGAGGTCTGTACAAAATCTCAAGAGACTCTAAGGAAGCACATGCAAGGGAAACAATTGCAATACCCGTTTGAAAGCATGCAGCATTACCCACCTGACTGCCAGCCTGAAGGCTGATGGGTACCTATGCACTCCATGGTCCTGGCTTTTCTACCCATTTTGGGAGGCCCAGCACCCCTTGCCCCGGCAATCCCAATATCAGGGAGCTGGCTGTCCCTGAAGCAGAAGAACATAAGAACCGCTATTCACTGGCTTAGACGCTGGGTCCATCTTGCCCAGGCTCCTGTGTTAGACAGGGGCAGAGAGTGGAGGCCGGAAGGGAAAGTGAACTGGGTCTGAGCAGGGATTTTCCCCATGCCTCTCTCTCGCTGGCAGCCTCCAGCATTGAAGGTTTAGTCCTGTCCCCACTGAAGCTGGTGGGTGCTCTCTCTTTCGAAGCAGCAGGAAACTACCTGTACAGCTTTGCTCAGGACTCTCCTAATTGCCTCTTCTCTCTTTGGGTTTGGGTGGGTGTTAATTACCGTCACTCCTCTTTACCTGGGAGCCCTTCATGGCTTTCTGCTGACGTCAGCCTTCGGCTCTCCCCGGGCAGCCCTGGCGATCAGGTAAAGGGGGCGAATCCTCCCACGGCGCTGTCCTCCTCTTAAAGAAAATCGAAGCGGTGCTGTCAGCAGATTCCCGGCCTCCCTTCGGGATCCGGCCTGCGTCTCCCCGCCCCACCCACAGAGCCCCTTTATTATGTTTGGCACATGAGGACATAATCACAGATGGCTCCACAAGGAAGAAAAGGAGAACATTTGTAGTGATGTCATGGTGAAACATGTTCCTCTGATCGCGTTTATAATTAGGGGGAGAGCAGATGGTTTAAAGCTTATTCCAACCCATTCAGTACATGGGTTTCCATAGAAATTATAGAAAGGAGCACCAATCCAGAGCACAGCGCTGCAGCGGGGTGAGGTCCCCGCAGGCACGGGGGTGACGGCCCCAGCGGGTTTGGCAAAGAGGGGCGATGGAGAACGGGAGGGATGAATTTGGCTGCTCTTTAAATACAGCCCAGAAAGCATCGGCTATGATCAGCTCGGGCTGGAGCCTGCGGCCTGGGTCGGGGCTGGGGGCCAGGCTGGCATCAGCTGGGGCAGGTGCAAGAGCCCTTCTCCAGCCGGGCCCCTGGCAACGCGAAGGGCAGGAAGGAGCCGCCGGCTCCCCCCACCCCCGCGCCCCTCCAGGCTCGCCGCTCCTTCCTGGGGCCTGCGCTGAGATCTGCGTTGGAAGAGCTCAGTGCCGAGGCTCAGCCCCCGCAAAGCGGCCGGGCGCGGATCCCGAGCAGGCCAGGCCAGGCTCCGGCCGGGTGCGGGTGAGCGCTCCCCCGGGGCCCGAGCATCCCGCCCTACCCGGGCGGCGCCG